TTAGCTGGACAAGCGCCAAAGCGAGTCCCCGGGCGGGCTTGCAGAGCCCCCGGCTGCAAAGGGAGCCCCGAGCAGTGCTGCACGCTTGGAAGATGAGCGTGCAGCTGAGGAGGAGCAGCGRTCGCCAGAACCTCGCGACAACCAGGAGTCATTTAATATGTAGGCCAGCTGTCCCTCCTCAGAACATCAAAGGCAGCGAGAAGAGCCCTGCGCTGCCAGAGCAGCGGAGCGGCGGCCAAGTCCCGCGTCCTGCGCTGTGTGCGCGCGGGCGGCGCAGCGCRGGGCTCCCGCTGCGCCCGCCGCGCTCTGCTCCCGGCTGTGTGCGCGCCCGGCCTGCGCCGCATCTGTATTTGTGTTTGCCCCCACGCCTGTGTGCACATGCCTGCCCTTGGCATGGGATCTTATGAGCGCCGCTTCCGCTGCGCACGGATCCTGCTGACGGGTGGGACGGCTCCGGCCGGCGCAGCGGGAGCCCTCTGATCCCCTGCAGCCGTGGCAAAGGGTGGGAACGGCGGCCACGGCGCCTGGCATGTGCATCCGCGGCATGGGCGCTCTGCAGGCTCTGCAGGCACGCTATCCCGTGCACGTTTTCCCTGTGCACACTCTCCCTGTGCTCACTCTGTTCCTGTGCTCCCTCTCCCCTTGCACWCTCTGCCTGTGCACACTTTGCTCCCGTGTACACTCTCTGCGTGCACGCTCTCTGTGCACGCTCTCCACGTGCGTGCTCTCTGTGCACACTTGTTCTTGTGCATGCTCTCCCCGTGTACACTCTCCTCGTGCGCTCTCCCCATGCACACTCTCCCCGTGCACACTCTGTGCCCATGCACTCTCCATGCAGATCACAGCAGCCGGTTGCTGCCAGGATGGAGGGCAGGGACGAGGGGGAAGGTACCTGATCTGCCCCCATCCCTCCTGTTTGCTCCTCTCCCGTGTGAACCCATGAGCTGAGGGAGGCTCAGAGCTGAAGCTCTACATCAGACCTTAGCCTGCCCCTCGCCTCAGCCTTGCTCCCTGCTCCAGTTTGACCCCTGCCCCAATGTCTCCCTGGGAATGGCTGGGATGTGACTGTGCCCGTGGCTGGGTGCAGCACAGSGGGGTGCTGACCTGCCTGTGCATTGGGCAGGGAGAGGGACAAAAAGAAGGGAGCTGTGAATTGCGCGGGCTGGGTGTCCAGGGAAGGACGGGGAGTCTCTCCCCAGCTGACGCTCACCCTGCAGCTGCTCAGAAATCCCCACCTCGGCTTATCCAGGAACGGCACGGCCTTCTCCCGCTGCATGGGCTCTGGGTTGCATCAGATTTGTCTGGCTGGCAGAAGTCACTGGTGTGACCGAGCTTGGGGATGATTTTCCTTTCTGTTCATTGTGTTTCGCTCAGATTTTTCCRAGGAATCGTCCTTGTTTGGCCTCACAAACCTCCATACTTGGTTTGCTTTGGATAAGCAGGGTTTTGTCGGAGCACATCTGGCTGGATGCCGCTCCGTGGCGCGGGAGCCACAGTGGAAGTGAGTTTTCCTGTTCCTACAGGCCGGCTTTACCTCTTCACCCCGCTGAGGTGCCTATTGCTGAACTTTGGTGAATGAAACGTCCCCCTGAGCCTCGATGCCTTTCCCACGTTAGGAGTATTTGATTTGCTTTGTGTCTGTTTGTCTACTGGGAAATTCCAAAGCGGGGAGAAACAATAAAAACATGAAGTTTAAGTGGGTATTTACTCAGCACATAAGCATACAGCTATCCTGGCGTGTCAGGCATGTACACACCATTTTAATCTGTGATAAAGGGGCACTGGGCGACCTTTGAATGCTTATTATTGACATTTCGTATCTTAAACTTGTAATGAGTACCCGGAGCAGCCGGTGCTCGCCCGGCCCGGCCGCTCACCCTGTGCACGAGGATTTGCTTCCTCCATCCTTAGGACGTGTCCGCGCTGATAAGCGCCTGGCTGGTCTCCCCGGCTCTGGTTTGAGGTGAGGGAGACTCCGAAGACACGGAGGCCACACAGCTTGCAAGGATCCTTTCAAAACAGGATTTGGTGCCTTTTCTCCTCTTTTCCCTTAAAAAAAAATACTTAAATGCAAGATGCCTTTGTGCACTACAGGTTTACTTTMGAGGGCACCAGTTGCAGCGTGAACTTTCCTACAAGCACATGAAAGCGGGTGCTGCTTCAGTGCTGTGACACGGTGTCCGTGCAGCCTTGCACGGGAGAAGGAGCGGAGCGCCGGGAGCCCCCAGCGCCGGGGGGAGCGTGCCGGGCGGGAGCGCCTCGCCGGGCCCCGGCCGGGGGGTCTGCAGGGGGTTTGCTGCGGTTTTCCGTGCCCGGTGTTGATTCACCCAGCGCGGGGGGCGGGGGGAACAGTGCGCTCTTTCTCTGAATCCCCCTTCCTTGCTCCCCACCTGAGCCGCTCTCCTGTTGCACGCGGCGTCGCCATGGCAACTAATTGTGATGTCATTTGCAGAGATTGCGGGGCAGGAATGCTCAGCCGGCTCCGGAATACGCAGCCGGCTCCGGCCTCGCTTCCAGGCCGGGGGCAGCATTCCCACCGCTTCCCCCAGGCCTCAGCCGTGGCGTGGGCGACAGGGAGCCCCTGCCTGCCAGAGGCTCCTGCTAGGGAAGACTGCAGGTCATTGCGTCCGTCGGGACTTGTGTGATAACATCTTTGGGAGCTGCGTCTCGGCTCTCCATGTTGTGCTCTGTTTTCCGCCTGGAAGACATGACGGGAGACACAAGAGGGAGGGGAGCCACCGAGGCTCTAATGCAATTTTCAATTCCCCAGCCAGCTTGCTTAGAATAATTACCTTTGTTGCAAGATAATTCATTACGGCGAGCTCTAAATCCTCCCACCTAAAATGAAAACAATTATTTTGTTCTTCTTCCTCAACTTTTTTTTTTTTTTTCTTCTCCTTTGATTTAAGGTGCCATTGGAAATGCAATTCATAAACGCATTCGCTTAGCTTAAATCAAACTGACAATTGTCTTCAGGACTCTAACCATGCCTGAAATGCCCAGCACAACCTAATTTAAGCAGTCTGAGAGCGGGTTATACAAGACTCTGCTGTATACTCGTGCTTTCAGGAAAGCATCTGCACAGCTTCAGTTTAACAACATATTTAATTCCAGATTTTAATTTTTTAAACACAGATGCCTAATAAACCTCAGTACAGATTGGRTGGGAAGCTTTTGCCATTTAAGGTGCCAGAGAAGAAATGTGTAAATAGCCAATTAAAAAAAGTAGGAGAGGAGACAGTGTTTTCGGTTGTTGCAAAAGAAGGTTTTGCTTTGCTTTATTAAAAAAAAAAAAAAAGAAAAAAGAAGAAAAATAAGCTGAATGTAGACTCAAATGTTTTCTTCAATCCCAAATATTTCACTGTTTTTTTTTCATGAAAATTCATTTCAAACGTTTTCATTGTTAAATGTATGTTAAATGTAAACCTTGCATCTTAAGACACAATTTAAAAAGAGCCCCTACACCTGCGGGAGCGCTCTTTGAAAAAGGCTGCGGAGCCGGGAGCTGTTCGGACCTGCCGCCTCCCGCCTTTCCCCCCTCCACGGAGGGGCACACAAGCCCTTTTAAGAGAAGGAAAAAAGAGGTCTTTGACATTTAAAACAGCGCCGAGCAGCTTCTGTTTTTTGGAAGCAATGCCAGGAGTGCCAGCTTCCACATGTCTCCATTTGCCTAAAGGTACCTGAGGATTTGCCTAGTAATTAGTTAACTGCCCTGCTTGGGGGTAGGGGGGAGAGGTGAGAGGTGGGGAGGGGGCGTCCACGGGGGCTCCC